TCTGCGTCGTGACAGGTCTCTGCAATATTTTTGGGCTCGTTGTATGGGTCGTAGCCGGCTCGGCCTGGGCAATTAATTGTGCTTTACTAACTATAACCTGCTGCACGTCCACGATAGGGGAAGTGGATGGTTTCACTGCTGTCTCGGTACCTGCCACGTGGATTAATTGTTGTTTCGTTAATTGCTCGATTAACTGCTGCTGTTCCTCGGCCGATAACCCCGAGCTCTCCACGAAACTGCCGTCGGGCTGCACGTAAATGATAGTGGTCGTCGGTGCAAGAGCGTTTAAGACTTCACCGCTTACAGTGGTGCATTCAGCAGTCACACCTGCCTCTGCAGTGGCATGAACGTAAGACGTTATGATATTCTGATCGGTTATCATCTCACCGCTCACGATCTGCCCGATCACCTCCTGGGTGCCGTCCAGAACTGTGACATCCACCGCCGACTCGCTGTGCATTAACTCGGCGAGGCCTTGATCAACGCCCCCTTCTGCGGCCTTGCTTGCGTCTTCTTGATTATTTCCCGCTTCGGCTGCGGTTTGTATCGTCTCGGGCTGCGGCAGAGATCCGCTCGCGTCGACGTTTTCCATTTTCGCTGCAGCAGATTTGGACGCTGAATTATTATCGTCTTCATTGTCCGCCATTTTGTTTAGAGGAGCAAAAGTTGCTAGCTGACGTAGGAATCCTCACAAGAGCGCGAGAAGCAGCCGTTTGCTTGCAGACGATTAATGCTCAAGATGGGAGTAATATTTGCGATATTGATTCAAAGCCCGGCCCAAAACATTTCAAATGTGGAAAACTGTTATAATCCAGAGACGCTCGCTACGGTAACGGTAGCCAGGCAATTGGTTTTCCCGTCCATGCCACCAACTAAAGCACGGAGGAGGGGAGGAGGGGTGACAACAAAATACGTCACTTCCGTTTTTAGCGCGCCGTTCTCTCTCCTCTTTTACCCGGTTAATGTTCATACTGTCCTGCTGCCTTTACATTGGAAACTATTTATAATAATTTAAGAAAAAAATCTTGTATAGGTGTGAACACCCTCCTCAAGAAAAATGTGGTTTTATTTGGTCCAAAATTTTATTATGATATAAAAAATATATTTTATATTTATTTATATTTTAATACATTTCATAATATGTCATGTACGAAAACATCTGTATAATTCTGTCTTCTATGAATGGTGTGTATTTTACACATTTCACAAATAAAATTACAATTATATCATTGTAATTCTAGGCCTTTTTCATTCAAAATACCAGTGCTTTTAGATAGATAGATAGATAGATAGATATATAGATGATAGATAGATAGATAGATATACAGACCTCTGTATTATTCTGTTATTGTATGAATGGGGTGTATTTTACACATTTCACAAATCTCCATTTTTAACCCAACATGATTTCATAAGCCCGTTTCTGCAACAGTTCAGTAAAAATGCTTCTGCTAGTCATAATAATGTAAACTTTTGTAATAATTACTTAACATCTCATCATAATGTGAAACCTTCTCCTAATAATGACTTAATACATAATAATAAGAAACTTGCTCGTAATAATGTAGAATACTTTTAAACTCAGTACATAATTTCAGATCAGTTGAAAATGTTATTGATTTTTAGAAGAAAAAAAACAAAGCACTGAATTCTCTTGTGATGCCTATAACACTGTTGGGCATTGTTAGTGAACAAATTAAACTAATAAAAATCTTATAGTGAATTCATGTAAATTGACAAACTTATAAACCTATACAATCCATCAGAAATTGATTTATTACCAAGTAAACACCAATGGTGGGTTTATGAAGCAAATTATTTACAGCAAATGTCCAGCAGGGGGCAGGAAGGGACCACTTTTACATTCCTCAATCCAAATTTTACGGTCTGTTTTTTCATAATGCTACATCAATAAAACGAACTGAATCTTTCTTATCACATTATTGCCATTATTTTAATGAGCCAAAATACCTTCAAACAGAGCAACAACTATGCTATTATAATATAATAATGATCAAGTCCACTGAACAAAAACTGCATACGAATGCCATTCAGTCAAACAGACTGAAGAGAATTTTTCTTTCAACCATTTTTTCAACATTTTAAGCGCATATTGAATGTCTAAAGAAACAGCTTTAGATTGTAAATTGTAAAGCATGAAGAGTTTAGAATGTCAGCAATGTTCTGATCAATGTAAACAGAAAATAATTTTTAGTGTATTTAAAATAATTCTCAGAGTTTTCAAATAATATGAGTGAATAGTAATATTTAAATCATATTGTTCTTAATAATCATGGCTGAAGTAATCCCTACAAAATGGCATTATTAATTTATTTAGCCAAATTATAGATTATATATCATTTAGAATTTATATTAAAATATAAAATTAGTCAGGGGGCATGAAGTCATTGAGCCATGCTGAAAAGACAGGATACAGAAATCAATTAATAATTCAAATCAGTTTGATTGATATCAAATATATGACTGGACTAATGTATTTTACATGCATACTATCAAAGTGAATATCCTTTCTCATTTTACACCATTTTTCAGATATTTTAATCACCTATGTTACTTAATTGCACAGCAGTTTAGTGATCATCACAATCTGATTAAGAAATCACTTTAAAGGCAGCACGGATTTGCCACTAGGATAGATGATCTCAACTCTGATAATCTTCATATCACAGATAAAGTCCAGTTCGTCCCTCAGTCAGGCCTCTTATGGCCACCATTAGTGACATTGTGGGATTAGAAAGTACTTCACTGTAATTCGGGTTTCCTCTTTAGTGAGAGTGCCTGAAGCCTGAGCTTTGATAAATCTGAAATAAAGAAACTGGTAATCGTCACAAACAGCTTTGCCAAGTCTTACTAAAGATAAAAACAAAATGTCTAAATAATGAGTGTTGAGTGAATGAGTGTTGATTAAAACATGCTTTATGGCATAAAAGCAGGGAATCCATTTGAGGTTTTATACAACATTTCATTTATTAAAGGGGTAATATGCCTGACAGGATCACTGAGATGTCAGGAAAGTGGACAGAGATACAGTATATTCTGTTGCTACGCAAGCCTAGCCTTATCACCCCAGATGCCAACTAATTAATTACGCAGACACTAAGTAAATTAAATTAGGATTGAATTAACAGTGTGTATCAATAATCTGTTGACAGGCCTTGATAATAAGGGCATGGAAAGGATCAGCAACCCAGATGAAATAGAGAGAGTGTGCAACATCCTTTTGGACGCTTCTAATCAGCACAAATCCTGATTGATTTCACAATTTGCGGATTAGTCAGAAGGAGACCTATATTTAACACGGTCATTTTAATGGCTAATTCCAATTATGTACAGTTGTAAGATAATTTCCATGCTTTTCTCTATCCTGTTATGTGAGGCATCCAAGACTGCTAATATGAGATAGAATGATTGTAATCCTGGGCCTGCCCTTATTCATTCAATATATCAGTGCTTTTAAACAGACAGACAGATAGATATATAGATAGACTTTATATGTGAATACATGAAGGATAAAGGGTATTACAGGAGAACTAGCCTCAGTGAGAGCGCCTTATCTAGGGCTGCTTTCATGCTCTCTCCCATATGTCTGTTATGCATCACTCCTGCTGTTTAATCTGCCCAGATTGAGGCTTCTCAACTGTGTCGGATTACACTGACACACAACTGTTTGGTCGACATACAATCGATTGTTATTCTATGTTCTCCATAGACCAGAGCACACTATAAAAAACTATTAGTTGTAAATAAAACAAATATTGGAGCCATTTTTTATTTTAGATTTTTTTGCTTCAAATTTTTATTTTAATTCAATGTGTTACTTGCTGTTTCTTTGTCATTGTTAGTGAAATTTGCTAGCAATTTCTGAGTAAAAAATTGTTCCTTCGCCAGTTAGTGCATTGCAAAATGCAACAAAGAAAAAGATTTTAGCGCAAATTTGGATTTTAATTAAAAAGCATTATTAGCATTTTATATGATATATGATACCTTAAACACAATTAAACTGATGCTGTACATAAAAAAAATCTGCTCAAGTAAACTGATGCATTTTATGTTCTCCTTCACTTATGATTTAAAACACACTTGATGTAAAAACAGGTTAGCATTGTTCATCTTTTTTTTAATAATTTGTATTGCATTTTACATGTTAGGAAAAAAGCACATAATTAGACTACAGTACATTAATGTATAGTTCAAACAATACTGTAGCAGGCTAAATCTTAATTTACAATATATACAGCAATACACTCTATTACAACTTTTAACCACTGAGAATTTGAAGACGGGGTACTGTACAAAATAAAAAAGAAAAGCATTTAAATCCTGTTATTTCAAAGCTCAGTAGGAGTTCTTGACCAATAATTTTCTGATGACGTTATTACTTTATACTGAAATTAGATCATAAATATCCAAACATTTATGGTTTTATTCAATTGAGCAATTTTGCAAACAGCACTGAGGAGGCTGCCAACATGATAAAGGGGCCCTATACTTATAGAATTTTTATGGCTGGAATTTTTGTAGGCCTATATATGAAAAAAAAAAAAAAAAGCTATTAATCACTGGCATGATGGACTGATGCTACTATCAAAATACTGAAAATGTCTAAATGGTTTTGACCTTGCTAAAGTAAAATAAAATGCAGAGGAGCATTGATAATCAATCAAAAGTCCAGTGCTGTCCTGGGAACAGTGCAGGAAGGGAAGAGAAAATAGCCCAGATATTTTCACACTAAGCCAATGTTTTATGGCATTATGTAGGGAAGAATTACAGTGCATAATCTAAGAACTATTTTCCTCTTCTTTTGTGTCTAACTGTTCGCTGGACTCCTCTGTCACCGACGTCTCCATTTTGTGCTCTAGTCTCTCAGAGGAAACCGTTCCCAGCACTTTGGCACTGTGCTCCTGTGCTTTTGCCCTGAGAACAGCAATACTGTTCTCCCTCAGTTCCTCTTTGGACTAGCATTGATAATCAATCAAAAGTCCAGTGCTGTCCTGGAACAGTGCAGGAAGGGAAGAGAAAATAGCCCAGATATTTTCACACTAAGCCAATGTTTTATGGCATTATGTAGGGAAGAATTACAGTGCATAATCTAAGAACTTTTTTCCTCTTCTTTTGTGTCTAACTGTTCGCTGGACTCCTCTGTCACCGACGTCTCCATTGTGTGCTCTAGTCTCTCAGAGGAAACCGTTCCCAGCACTTTGGCACTGTGCTCCTGTGCTTTTGCCCTGAGAACAGCAATGCTGTTCTCCCTCAGTTCCTCTTTGGACTTGGGTGACTCTGTCCTCCTTTCCTCAGCCTCGGCCTCATCCGGCTTGGGATTGGTCGGTTTCTGAGTGACATCTGACTTCTCATTTGATTGGACTTCAGCAGTCTCCAAGGACTTCTTGTGCATCCCTGCAAAGAATGGTGGGTATTCGTGTTTAGAAAAGCAGCTGGTGGTAGGAAAACCATCTTGAACTGGAAATAGCAAGAGACAGATTTTAGATTTAGTAACAAAATATAACTAATCTGAGCCATGAGAGTCAAACTGCATCAAAAATAAATGGATAAATAAAGGATGAATAAATTAAGAAATGCAATATTCTTTTTTATAGTTTGTTATTATAATTTAATCATGTAAGTAAATTCATTGTTATTTATCTATTTATTTACAGGTAGCTAATGTGGTGATAGTCAGTTGTGAAATGTCATTGGTTAGAGATTTATGTATTTATTTTTTATATTTTATTTTAAAGAACAAAAAATGCAGTCATCTTCAGAGGGGTCAAGAGCAAAACAACTGCCAGGAAAAGACAAAAAATAATGATAACTGTAGAAAAAGTAAATACAAATACAGATAAATAAAACAACATAAAATAATAAGTATATAATTAAGTAATTCATATTTAATTAGCAATTTAATTATATGACTAAACTTTTTTTTTTACTTTCTGGTTCTTATATTATTGTAATACAGGAAATAATTGCTCTAAAAAGTGGTCAAATGTTATTTAAAACATTTCTGTGAGATGTCTGCTGCATAAAAATATAACACTTAAATTGTCAGCTGAGAACATTTTTGTAAATGTAATCAAATCGCTTAATTTACAGAATGTTTAAATTAAAAATGAGCTTGTACTGGTTAGGTAATTTTGCACCATTTGATGTTGATCTACTCTCCATAAAGTAAGTCATGCAGTATTCATTCATATAACTTGTTGAAATTGAGCCATCATATTTAGAGTATAAGCAAGGCACTAAATTATTAGAAAGGAACAGATTTAGAGAAGAGTTTATATATTAAAATGTTCTTGTAATTTAATTAAAAATATCTATTTCAATAAAAAAAAAAACCTGTATCATTAGTTATGATGATGAATAAAGGCCCATTTGTTATTTAAAGGGGTCATATGATGCGATTTCAATTTCTTTGGAGTGTTACAAGCTCTTGGTGCATAAAGAAGATCTGTAAAGTTGCAAAGACTAAAGTCTCAAATCCAAAGAGATATTCTTTATAAAAGTTGAGTCAGCCACACCTACCTAAAACG